GCATCTTTTATTATTATTATTTTTTTTTTTTTTGCAATGAAAATAAATTATATCCCCAATTGTAACAAATTATATCTCTTTAATGGACAATTTTCATGAAAAATAAAGTCAAACGAATACCAAAAGATCCAAAATTTTAATATTTTTCAAATGAAAAATTATAAAAATCAAATAAAATTAATTGACAATTCTCAGTAAAACAAGTTCTAGGCAATTCAATTCCATAGAATACATTTTCCTTCCACCCAAATTCCATTCTTACAATGAAACGGACCCTTGGTTCCAATGAGGTCGCAGTTTTACGTATGGAAGAAGTCCCAAGTTTTGTTTCTCACGACGACATTGTATTTTCTCTTTTGCAGACATATTCAGTTGATAGACCTAGGAAAATCTTCAATGGTAGAGATTACCAGATGACCACAACTTGGTTTCTAAGATTCTTGATTTGGATTGGGTAACCATTTGTGTGTGTTGAAACTGCCAGGTGTTTTGGTTTTGTTGAAGCAAGTGGAGGGGGGATGATGGGCCAAGATAATAAAGGGTTTCTCTCTGAACAACACAATTGGAACAACTTCATAGCATTAGAACTGGAAAACACAACCAAGTGAAGAATTCAAGCCTAGAACAATTCAACGAACCCACGGTATGAAAATCTTGCTATTCAAGTGAGGTTGAGGATACAACACAAATATCGGTGATGGTAGGAAAGACCAAGAGAATTCACTAACCAATCCCATATTTCAAAGTAAAGTGACTGAAAATCGACTAGTTAGAATACTAATAGATCAATATTCAACCATTATCCATTTCAGAGTAGGATTGGATCAATTCAATTCAGTTGAGAGTTGAGCAGGCAATTGGCAATTCATTAAAACTTGAACTCAAAGTCAAAAGAGAAAACAAACATTAACAAAAAAACTTGGCAAAATATCTCAGCCATCAGAGTCAGGCCTCTGCATCCTCGATGACTTGGACAACCTTGGCAGTCGGCCTGGCCAAAAGATCAGTGTATTCTTGGAAAGGAGATTTTGAGAAGCGAGTATCCCTCCATAAGTCCGGAGTGAGGAAGCCATAAGTCTTCAGTAGACAATCAAAGGTAGCCTGTAAAGTGCAAAATTCATTAGCATCCGAAACACCAGTTACTTTGATGGTGTAACTACACAAGCAGCATAAACCACTAATGCCTTCACTTAGTGTTTCAGTGATTTTAAAGTACTAAAGAACATATAGCATAGTACAGTAAAAATATTCCAAGTAACGAATATTTCACCATTTCAAGGACATGAAGCGTACGCCGTGCTCAGCGACTACTCTCTACTGCAGACGCAGCATAAACCACAAATACCTTCACTTAGTGTTTATGTGCTTTTTAAAGTACTAAAGAACATGTAGCATATTCATTTGTAGCCACTCATCTTCTCTAGAGAAGCAAAACTCGAATAGATAGAACAGATGGTCCATCTACGTAACTTTTTCTTTTTAATTACTTCCAAGGTCGTGCCTCGTGGTGGATAATTGACTTTCATAGAAAAGGGGCAAAAAGAAAGAATTTCTTTTCTGCAACCCCTAGACAAGCCCCTCTCTTTCACACAGTTAATTGAGAAAGGGGATCAAATCCTGCTGCAGTTGCACAAGCCCTTCAATGACCAAAGAAAAAGGAATTGACAGTGATTTTGAACATGTTCTTTCCATGACCCCTCTTGATTGAGACAAAACAGGAGATCCAATGCTTGGATTGAAATAAGAATCACTTTGATTCTATCAAACACATTGTATCAGGTTATACTTAAAAACTATTCCTTGCCGTGCTCAACTAATATAGCATGGTAAAATGAAAATATTCCAAGTAATTAATATTATATTATTTCAAGAACCCGAAGCTCGTGCAGAGCTCGACCACTACTCTGTACTTCAGTACTGTTCACTACAATCAACAAAACCGAAAATAGAAATTTGCTATCTCATCATTTTAATTAGGAGTTAAAACTTTGGTAATCATCCTCACAGATTTAACAAATTGAAACAAGAATTGAGAGTATCAACAATTATACATGTCGCACAAATTTTTTTTTACAAAACAGAAATGGATAAATTTTAAAAAACTAACAGTTGTAGCATATCAGCAAATTCCATTTGGTTGAAATTCAGATCAAATTGCAATGCAAATAAATGAAATAAATCAAAGCACACCTTAACGAAGTTTCCAAGGGTCTTGGTAGAACCTCGGGAGGAGGTGAAAACATCCTCTATACCAGCAAATTGTAGAACCTTCTTGGGAACGCGGGCAGCGACAATTCCGGCGCCACGAGGTGCAGGCACCATGCGGACAGTGACTGAACCACATTTTCCGGTGACCTTACAGGGAACGGTGTGTGGTTTACCAATCTTGTTCCCCCAGTACCCTCTCCTGACTGGAATCACAGAAAGCTTGGCCAATATAATCGAGCCACGAATCGCAGTTGCCACTTCCTTCGAGCACTTGACACCGAGACCAACGTGTCCGTTACCATCTCCGACCACCACGAACGCCTTGAACCGGGTCCTCTGACCGGCCCGGGTCTGCTTCTGGACCGGCATGATTTTCATAACCTCATCTTTCAAAGAGGGACCAATTAGTATGTCGATGATTTGGTATTCTTTGATTGGGAGCGAATGGAGGTAAATTTGCTCAATGGACTTGATTTTTCCGTCTCTCACTAGACGGCCAAGCTTCGTTACCGGAACCCACTCTTTCTCTTCGGAATCACGGCGTCCACCACGGCGTCCACCGCGTCCACCGCGACCTCCCCTATCTCCTCCACGTCCGCGTCCTCCAAAGCCACGGCCAAATCCACCACGGTCTCCAGCGCCTCTCTCCGCCATTGTTAGATTTGAGAAGTTTGAGCAAGAATTTAGAGTATGCTAACGTGTACAGTTTAACTGAAACCCTATCAAGGAATTAGGATATATAATACACACACAATGGGCTTAGTTTTGATAAATGTAAGCCCATATTGTTCGCGGCCCAAATGGCCTAATCTGTATAACAATCACATGATGAGCTTAGAGTTGATATTTTAATAGAAATTTACTAAATTAGGCTATTTTGCGTTTCCCCACTCGAATTTGGTCCCTCCCAACAAATTTCAGAGTTCAGGTTCCTTCCAAAACGAAACACACACTTCTCTTGAATTCCTCTACCGACAATCGGTCTCTCTCTCTCTCTCTCTCTCTCTCTCAGTTCGGTGCTCATTCTCTAGATTGCATCAATTTTTTTTTTTTTTTGGGGAAAAATCTTGATCTTGATCATTTACAGGTTACGTTTATTACTTTGTAACAATTATAACTATGCCTTTCAGCTAAATCTTTAATAATGAAGCGATGCTATGTATTTTTATTTTAGGAAAATTATTATTATTTTTCTTTGTATTCGGTCTTGATTCTTGGTATTGATTTTGTTCAATAGTATTCTGGTTGAAGTAGTGGCATTGTGGAAGTTTTTAAGAAAATAAATGTAATTAGATTTAGGAAAAAAAAAAGTGAATTGTTTTGGATCAGATCAGTATTTTATTATTTGGGTTATGAAAAAAGACATAGTTGGATTTAAAAAAATGTATATATGAAGGTGATTTGTCACTCGACCATGATGAGGTATTGAAGGAAGTAATGAAGCAGGAAAGCTTTAGCAATTATTGGAATTCTCTGGAATACTATTTTTAAATTTAAAGATCTGGAAGAAATGTGTTAAATAGTTCTCAACATGTGTATATTACAAATATTTGTTTTGAGCTTTACGCCCACTCGATAATTACTTAAAAAAGAAGAGTTCCACGCTAATTTTTAGTTCTTTACCAGCAGCATTTAGTTCTTTCTGGTTGGCGCAGTTTGTTATCTCATTTAGTTCTTTTCATTTGGTCCTGCAATAAATGTCGTAATGATTTTATGGAACAAAATATTGATCCTATTTTCATTCTCTTTCGGATACCAAGAGTAACATACAGGACCTGGGAGGTGTAAATCATCTATCTTTCTGAGGAATAATGGTGGGCCAAACCAGTTACCTGCCTCCACCTTATATTCCATTGAGTCAGACAGAATCTGAAGCAGAAATTGTACCATCCAATGACGAGGTACCTTCTCAGCAGCATAAAAATGATGATCCAGTGCAGTGGTCTTCTGGAATCTGTGCTTGTTTCGATGATATGCCGAGCTGTACGCTACTTTCTGCCTTGTGCTCTTGATTTATCCGAAGGAAAAATTGAATGAAGGTGCACTTTTGAGTAGTAAAATGAAAATAAACGATAAGCATAATCTTTTTTACATGCTGTGAGGAAAGCTGTATTTACAAAATTATGTCGTGTTTCACCTTTTAGCTTTATAGAAGATGGAACAACGCACGTTGATTTCATGATACAGTAATATGGATGGCTTGTATACGCTATTCGTACAATGGTCTGCTGAAGTAGATTCATAAATTATTAATAAATTATGTGTAACATGTTCAAGTCTTATCAAATGGACTCGACTACCCGAAAGGTGGGGAAAAATGACCTTTCGAACCATGAATGAAAATAATAGAAGTCTTAGCTCTTTACTGCAATGGCCTCAACAAATTGACAGACACTTGTTTATGCATTAAGATAACAATCTAAATGAATCCCAGTAATCTAAGATATGTTTTCAGATAGGACAAATAATCTCTAACTATTCCACTGTCCCAGTGACCGATCCTCAATTGAAAAATGAAACTTGCTTTACAGAGTTTTCACCTGGATTTAAACTTTTTTGGCTGTGATATATGTTTAAGGAGAAACACTGTATTACTGGTCTTATTTAATATGTGGTATTTGTTTGTCTAACATTTGTCTACTTAAAGTCATTATAGTTAGAGGATTAATACTCTCAACATACTTGTCATAATGCTATGGCGGTTGAAATTTTTTAACACAGTGCTATTGTCAAATCTAGACATTTTTACATACCGTTGAACAAATCAACAGCTTAATTTGAATATTTCAACAGATATTCTTTTTATTCAATCCAGTTAGGAGGGAGTATTAGAACAAAATAATAATGCTATAGATACCATGAAGACATGGCACAGAACTACAAGCTCATAGAATCTACTTGAGGAAATATTATTGTTATGTAAATTCTGTAAAACATGGTGCATTTCTATTGCCTTCATGTTATCACACTTGCAGTATGGCACATTAATACAACATGCTAATCTTCAGGATTTGTTACTTTCTTCATGGAAAAGTTCTTAGCTTATGTGCTGGGAACCATAACTTTATGTCTTCTAAAAGTTAATTTAAGCAAATGTGTCGTAGGCTAGGTGCTTGGGGAATAACTCCTAGCTTCCTTAGTAAAAAATATTCAACAGTGTTTTACTCTTAGAATGATAAAAATTAGTCTACTACTCTACAAAATGAAGAAATGTTGACTACATTACACATTTGAAAAAACTAATAAGGCGTCTAGATTACCTATATGCATGTAGACATAGGTTCATTCTTCTAGAGACATATTAACCTTACATCTGTTTATTAAATATGCCATTAGCTTATTTAATGTCCTAATAGTGGCTCAGATGATTTATATTAATACTTAATGTCCTAATAGTTATTTACCAAGTGGCCTTTATCTTCTCAGGTTGTATTGGACTTGTCTGTCCTTGCTTCCTTTTTGGGAAAAATGCGGAGTTTTTGGGGTCTGGAACACTATTTGGATCATGCACGACACATTTTATTTTGTATGCGCTGGTCAATACGCTTTGCTGTGTGTTAAGTGATGGCGTTATATGGGGTTTACCTGGATGCTTTGTCGCGTGCTATGCTTGTGGCTACCGGAAGACTTTAAGATCAAAATACAACCTGCAGGTACAAGTCACGTTGCTTTGCCACCTATAATTTTACTGCAGACATTGTCAATTCTATACTGAAAAGAAAAGATATATAACTTGTGTCAATTATGTTAGTTCTGCTTTTACCCTTCTGTAATGGTTTTGACAAGTGATCTTCTAAGAACATGTTGATGATGGGTGGCTTGGTATTTTGATGATGGTGGTATGGTTTAGGGACTTATGTTGTTTGATAATTGACAAACTTGAGGAATGTTTTAGGCACTAACAAGTTATTGCCTTCTCCATTAGTTGGACCTAGGTCATTTGAATTGATCTTGGAGCTGTGCTTGTCGTGTTATCCAGATGATTCTGAGTTTACAACTGATTCATTGATTGTTTACAATGAAGAACATTGTGTAATTAAGTTAGGGGTTTTAATGCACTCTCAAACATTCAACGGTGTGAAAGTTTATGAAGTGGTTTATGATGAATTGATTTGGCTATTAACTGAATACTTGGGTTATATATTTTGGTCAATGGTCCCAGCTGGAAGTTTAAATGCTTGTAGTAGTTATTGGATCCAACTTGTTACAATTGGCTTAAGGACTGTCTGCTGAAGTGATTCTGAACTTGGACAAGTGATCAACCTGGGCACTAACCATTCGATGGGCCACCATAATTCGTTGAACTTTCAGCGGTTAGTTTGTAATCACGTAGCCCTGCCTCTCTACCATACCTGTACAGATATTATAGCCCATTTATGTTCCTGTTTAGTCCCCTTTATTTCCGAAGCTGTTTCTACCCCTAGAAATGCACTGTTGGAACTGGGTTGGAACAACAAGCATCTCATAGTTTTTTGTTTCAGTTTCATTTCCATGGAGGCATTGCGAGGTGCTTGAAACTTTCAGAAATCATGCCCTATGACTTGTATGCATAAGAAAACCATTATCTCCACTACCTTAAGGGAGTATTACACTTTACCTCGGAATTGTCTTTGACAACTGTTGGTTTTGCCTAATAAACACTCAGATCGCATTTGGTGCACCGTATTAGACAGTATAAATAATATATATAAACTTAGAAAATAGATAGTAGTAGGTGATTGTAGGTAGTCAATGATAATATATCTCATGCCAAGTAACTTTTTGTTAGCCTCTGTGGACAACAAGCTGTGAAAATTGACCATTATGGAGGCTTTCGATAAGTTTATGATGTCACAACTATTAAAGGGCATGATATGCAAGTTCAACTGCTGAAGACACTTCGAGACCATATTTCATTTCTATGAGAGAAAAAAAGAAAAAGACCAAATGGTCAGTAGTCAGAAATTGCTGCATAAACCTTCAATTAATAACCTGAATGACATTAAGGGTCCGTTTGACAATGTGAAAATGAATTCTAATTCCATATTAGTTGGAAAATTAGAACCTACCAAACCCATAGGAATTCGTTTTCCATGAAAACAAAGAAAATACAGTTTAAAGTGGTTGTACCTTGGAATTCGGTTTCCATTTCCAGGTTACAATCAAATGCCCAAAGTGGAATTCGTTTTCTTTGGATGTGACATTTCCATAGAAAATGTGTCAATCAAATAGGGCCTAAAAGTGCAGGAAGAACTTCATTTACCTGACTGTAATTCATCATGAATAGCAGTTAAAAATTACAGCTGACCTTCGCTTCCCTTACTTAGCAAGATCAGTATCACTATTTTATAATGCAAATTATTTTGATTTCTGTTGTTACATTATTAGCTTTTCCAATGAATTAATATCTTCCTTGTGGATTCTTGACACAGGAAGCCCCATGTGGAGATCTCTTCACGCATTTTTGTTGCCATTTATGTGCCATTTGTCAAGAGTACAGAGAAATCCGCGAAAGGTCTGGAGGTTCAAACTCTTCTGACCTGAGCTTGGTGGAAGTTACTCCCCCTCCTATTCAGACAATGGAATCAGCTTCCGCATAATAAGTCCATCTGTTAACATGCCCTTATTCACCCTGTATTATATTGTTTCACTTTGTGCTGCTTCTCGTCTTGATG